CACCCACCCCCCCAAAAAAAATATCCCACCAGAAGAAGTAGTGGGTGATCTTCAGGTCACAGATGGCTCGCTTCATGAGGAACCGCACCAGTGGGCTGTCCAGGTAGCACTCATACTTCAGGGCCTGGGAAGGGGACAGTTTTGGGGTACAGTGGGACCAGCGTGCACCCCATGCCACGTCCTGGTCCCAGCATGTGTCTTGTGCCATATCCTGGTCCCACCACACACCTGAACCAGTTGGGGCAGGTAGTCCAGCAGCTCATTGTCAGAGATGGAGTCAATCCACTGCACGGCCGTCTTCCTCACCTCCTGGTCTGGGAACCTACAGCCAGGACAGGTGTCATGGGGATAGCACCCTCATCATCCCTTCCCAACACTCCCACCCCTGCCTGCACGGGGAGGGCAGCAGTGCCCAACCACACATCCCCATGGACGTGCATCCCCGTGGCACCCGCAGGTGGCTTACGTGGCATGCAGCAGTCCCAGGCCATCCTGGTGGCTCATCTGGGCCCACTGGCTGAGCAGGGCGTAGATGTCGGGCAGACAAGCCCACTCCCAACTGGGAGCACTGGCCAGCAGCATGGGCAGAGCCCCGGGGGTTGCGTGGCAGTAGTAGCGCTTCTCCCACAGCCGCTTGCGGTCGGCGTCCATCAGCCTGGGGGGACAGGGGACACGGCTCCCTGTGGCATGGGTGGGATGGAGCTCCCCATCCCCACAGGGATGGCCAGGAACTGAGCTCCCATGCTGGGGGAATGGCCCTGGATGTCTCTCTGCCCCGGGAATGTCAGTTCTGTCCTGTGCGGCGGATCCAGGCACAGCTGCTGACACCTGATCCTTCCGTTCCGAGCCAGCACTGGAGGACTCTGCCTGGCTCAGCTGTGCCAGGCTGGGTGGGGGACCAGCCAACTGTCCCCACCAGGGGAGACAAGGCAGGAGAGACCCTTCCCAGGGGAGGACCAAAAGGCAGTGGTAGGCAGGCAGCTCTGTCAAACACCAGGCTTCAGCCTCATCCCCAGCAGCCAGAAGCAGGGTCTGACCCTCAGATACCCTGTGCCTGCCAGGGCACAGCTTTGGGGAGCTCACAGAATCAAGGAGTGGTTTGGGTGGGAAGAGACATTAAAGCTCATCCAGTTCCAACTCCCCTGCATGGGCAGGGACATCTCCCACTAGAACAGGTTGCTCCAAGTCCCATCCAGCCTGGCCTTCAACACTGCCAAGGATGGGGCAGCCACAGCTTCCCTGGGCTTGGTAGAGTCCATCCCCCCCTCCCCAGCAGGGCGATGCTTCCCCCGCAGGCTGCTCACCAGTAGAGCGATTTCTTTTGCATCACCTCCCGCAGCTTGCGCTGATCCTCCTCCCCCAGGCTGCTGAACTCGTACCTGGGGCTGAACTCAGCTGCTGGTGGGCTGGTGAACTTCACCTCAAAGGCAGAGGTGGGGAAGTCGATCTGGGGCAGAGGCAGAGGGTAAGTGGGGGCCACATGCGTGTGCATGTCCCCCCTTAGAACCACCTACCGCTGGGACACACCTGCAGGATGACACTGTCAGGCTGGTTGAAGTTGGGGGCACTTGACCTGGCTCTGGAGTTGTCCTGAGTGGCTGGCCACAAGCCCAGGAGCTTTCTCCCACAGGTCAGGACCCTGGAGAAGGTGGAGGGGTGAGAACTCAGCACTGGGGGTTGCTCTGGTGGGGCAGGAGGGTGGCACCACTGCAGTGATGCTGTTCCCATGCTGGGCAGAGGGACTGGGGACACTCCTGACCCACTCTGGGGATGCTGGCACGGTCCCTCTCCGTGCCCCTCATGGCAGGGACACCCCACGTACTGCCTGAAGTTGAAGAGGGGGGTGGTCACCCAGCCCAGGGCCTCAGGGACCCGTCGCTGCTTGTTGGTGTCAGAGGAGCTCCCCGGGGGGGGGATGGGCACGGCGAAGAGTGTGACGCTGAGCAGCGTCTCCCGCGGCAGACGGTTCACCTGGACAGGGAAGCAGATCCTGCAAGAGAGCAGCCAGCAGCTCAGCTATGCTGGGGAAAGTCACTGCCACCCCC